ATAAAAAAACTTGCTATTTCGCGTGACTTCACTCGCGTAAATTATACCCGTGTCACCCGCGTATGATGTAGCTTCTTGTTATTCTAGCTATTCAATGCGAACAAACAAGCAATCAAATCTTTTTTCATCTTTATAATATTAGTATGGATAATTTTCATTTACAACTTTAACTTAGACTTACAACATAATACTTTAAAATTTGCTAAATTGCAAAATTGTTAAGAACTGCACTGAAACACTCAGTTTCCCTAGAGATGTATAAAATAGGAATATATTATCATATCTGCAATAATAGAGACTAATTTAAAACAACTGATGTATAAAAAGGTAAGCGCCAAACAATATTTTTCTAATTGAGTAAATAATAATTTAAAAAATATTCTAAATGCTTAAGATTCGACTTCTTACATTACAACCCTTTCAATTTAGACAAAATTAAATCAATCCAGTAATAAATGTTTCCATAATAATAAAATAATTTTATAAATGCATAAATTTAAGTAAATAATATCATTCTATTTCATACCAGCGCCATCTATCGCCAGTCAAAAAATTTAACCCGTGGTGTACGACCTTAAAATGTGCTCGTTGATGTCTTTTATATAGCTTGTCAAAACAAGCGCGTAAATTGTCAGCTTAACGTTATTATATTTAATGTTTCCTTTAAAGTGGAACGTAATTTACTGGTGGTCGACTATATAACAATTATATAAACGATATATCAGGTTTATTTATTACAGTATTAAATTGCAATATATGTTGTTTACAATATTGTTTGTCACAACAAAAAAAAGGTTTCGGATAGAATAGCCAAAGTTAATATGCGCGGAACCATTTCGTATGTATTACATATTACATAAATTTGTTTATCATATAATTTTAAAATATATAATTATTTATGAATATCATGGGCTAAACACCGCCAAATATGTAGGAAATTTTTTTTTTACTTACTTTTAGGAAAACAAATATCCATAATATAGGTATTGTTTGTGCCTTTATAACAGTGTTAATACCTTTAGTTTTTTTCACTTAACGACCTCCGTCGAATGGGGTCCAGGTCGCAAATCCGAGGTTCGATACCAGATCGAGAGAATTAAAAAAAATAACTTTTCTTTAATGCCTCCGTGTTACGGTATCTTCGTTGTTTCATATTTCATAATTCAAATCTATTTACTATACATCAAAAATGTAAATTCTAAGACAACGTCAACTATATAACCCAAGATTACATTAATTAAATCAACCTAGACTCGAACTGATACCACATATATGGTAATACCATGTAACCAGCGTACAAGCCACTAAACCATGGAGGTCGTCCTAAATAGAACGGGTAATGGGATCGCTGTAGACTGCGTAGAGTGTATTGAATTTATTGCGAGCAATTTATACATCTTTTCAGCGGCTTCCGCGTGGCTGTGAGTCAGCGCGGGAACATATTATTAGACGACTATTCCCGTGCGCGCCGCCCGCCACAGATTAATTGGACATAACGCTACAGAACTGTACATGGTTGCAACGTGCTTACGTGTATTTAAAAGCGCTTGAATTTTAAATTTTCAATACAGTAGAAAATAGTGAAATCATATTTTAATTTCGGTGAATAAATGCAGGAAAAATAGAAAGAAATGACATTCCATCACAACTAGACCTCTGTAAGCATAATATATACTTTTATAAATTGACGTGAATTTACCTCATATACTTTTTGAAATGTTGAAAAGAGAGCCCAATATACATCCACCAATATATACAAGTACCAAATTACTGATGAACTGTACACAGTGGAAGTAATAATGAGTAAAATGGCGTTATTAGATAACGTGACGAATGACTACATTATAAGAAGAAAATTTTATATGAGATTTCAGTCAGTGATAAGACAATTGAAGGAATAGTAATAATTTACTAAATATGTAATTAGAAGAAATTAAACACATATAACTAGGAAAGTTATGAGCATATGCACATTAAAAACAAAGTGAACTTTTACAAGATAATTTAAAAATATTTTACGAATCCAATGACCATCAAATTGTGAACGATAAGATAAAAAAACAAGAATGAGAGAGAAAAATGGAGCAGGTATTGGATCTGACTAATTACAATGCGTCAATATATCATGTCTAATATATAATAAACGCACATTGAAATCGGTTCCGGAGTTGTTTCATCAAATTCTGCCTATTTTAAAGAATATTAAATGATTTTGGTAGACAACGAATACGACACATGGGTTTATTTTATCTGTTCTAATTATAATCGTTATTCTTCTCGACGTGTTTTAAAAATAGGAGACTCTCAGTAGTATTACAACACTTTATCATCAGGTTTTGTTTATAGAGACACTTGGCAAACTGCTATCTTCACTTTTATGATTTCATTAATTTTGTTTAAATATTAGTATAATATTATGTTTAAACTTACAAATTAAATACTAAGAGGTACGACAGATGTGCCACGTAGGAATAATATATTAAAAGTGCACATAAAATTTTAATTGTTTTAAAAAATAACTATCTTATATTAAAATAATAATGTTTTTATTATATGATACACTAAAAATTTTCTTAATGAAAAATGTTTTTATTTTTACTTTATCCCTGGCACTCTGAGATGAGAAAAAGGATTTTATATACATTTGTCATTAAGAATAATCTTTTTATTTAATTTTCTTTTATTCTTTACAACCTCAACTGTTTTGAACATAACAATAATAGACATCATACAAAAATCGCTGTAGGGATCGCTCTAGGAATGGGCAGAATATCGAGAAAGCTACCAAGGGACACTGTTAATACAGAAGATAGTAGCGTTCAACTATTAACAGATTTAAGCACCATTCGGTTCAAATTCTATTGATAGCAAAGTTTGTTTTCTACCTTTAGAATAGAAAAATATATATGATATATAATAAAAAGTTACACAATCACCACCTTTTAATGTCCATATTTCTAGGGCTCAGGCCTTTCCTATGGATCGAATCGAATCAAATCGAATAGGAAGAATGGGCCATAACCCACCACGCGGGCCCAGTGTGAATTGATGTGTATTAACGACTGCAGATGGACCGGTGTCTTCCGAAGCACAGAAGAGCTCGAGATAATACATATTAATCACCCATCTTATTACCGACCATTGCGAAAATTGCCATGAAAACTGACGTGTGAGTCCCTCACCACGTAGAACGTCAAACAATAGACATCGCGTAGGTACCATCTAGTAAACATGTTTTGCATAAAGATAAAAAAGGGAATTCAGTAGTCTGATAATTCTATTGTTTCATGTATTCAACTATGCAAATGAGACTTACAAGCATTTTCTCTTCACCGATATTTTTTATCAGTAGCCTAGTTATTGTAGGCTTGCTTGTCCTATTAACATTGCTTCATTTTTTTTATATTATTAATAGCGAAGCTAGAACAACTCTCTTTGATTAAATAGTTTCATAATATAATTAAGGTAGAAAAGAAAAAAATTACCTATATAGGCTCTATGTTTTGGCTCAAGGGGTAAAAACTGACTAGTATAAGTTAACTTACGTCCAACCGTAGGATTGCAAGTCAAACTTCACATTACAATTTAAACGATGTTAATTTTTAACCTTTGAATTAAATGATACTGATCAAATCTGTGGATCAAATGCAAAATATTGTTCATGAATTGTCACTGCTACAATTACTACAGTGTTCCGGCCCGTTAAACGTGAATAAGCGTGTAATAGCCGCCATGTAAGCTTATTATTGTAATTGGCGAGTTACCGTAAATACGGTTATTATCAGCATACACCCTCGCGTCTCGACACTCCAGTGCTTTCACAATATTCAAACGACCGCGTTATATTTGTTAAGTATGATATCGGCACAACTTTAAGGAAGTATTCAACTTTTAATATCATTAGGTTTCGTGTTACACATTTGATACCCTTCAATAACAACTTTAATGGCACAATTTCCAGATTAATAGATATGATCAAACTTATCTGATGTATCAGAAAATTTTAAATATCTTATATGGAATATATAAGTTTGGAAAGTGTTTGTGTAGGCACAGACATACATACCTAAACTATAGTGTAGGTAACGAAACAATTTTTATACTTGATCATAGATTTTAAATTAATCACTGAAAACTAACAATGAAAGTAAGGGATATTAATATGCGGAGATGTTACAAGTTTCTCGCTGCCCTGATAACGTGAAATCACATGTCAACATCTCACTCTCAGTGCCATATTAACACAAATTCTCTACTTTAATCATACGACGCAATACAATTTATTTTGCGGATCGTCTGAGTCAAAAATTATCATTTCTATGAGGAAATGATAAACAGCGGGCCCTTTTTGGAACTGTCTGTCTGTCCGTCCATCTGTCACAGTTAATTTACCCGAAACTAATGGACCGTTTGAGTTGAAATTTGGTACAAATATATAAGGGTAACCGCCAAAGACGGACGTGCGCGTTGTTTATTGTATATGAATTTAAAAACATGGCAGCCTCTTTTGAGACATAAATTGTTAAATTGAAATTTTTAAAAAGATACTTCCAAACTGTTATATTAAAACTCTTTAGTTATTGATTTATGTTATATAAAAAAATATATATGTCACTTGACAAAGACGTACAAAACTAAGTGGTTTTATTAATTGTATTTTTATATAAAATATATAATTTTAACAGGCTGCTGTCGGTAGGATCCTAACCTATGCTCCCAGAAGGAATCTGATTTCCAGTCAGATGAAAAAAAAACTTTTTCTTTGATATATCATGTTAGCATCTCAAAATACTAACAACGTTGGCAGAGCGCTGTAAGCCAATGTACAGTTATATCAAGCATGTAGCATGTAGCCATGCTAAATGTTGTGTAATATGTTAGCCATTGATTAAAATGTTTTATTTTTACCTATGTGACTTACCTATGAAAACATGAATGCCCGGCTTTACATTATTTTTTTTTATTATTTAATCAAAGCTTAAATATTGTTAAATTTTCAGCACGTTAGGCGTGGCGCACGTTGCAGGGATGTGCAAACCAGACCGAAGCTGTTCAGTGAACGAAGACAACGGAATCATGCTGGCACACACCATCACACACGAGCTCGGACACAAGTAAGACAATTTTATAGCTTCCAGAAATTGCATAAGATGCACATGACTCGTTTATTACCTATCCCAATTTTCTTTGATTTTCTACTTTTTACCTTATGTTTACTATTTAAATAGTACCTATAAGAGTTGTTTGCGTATTATATAACTTATAAACGTTACCAATATACTCATATGTAGTTTGGTTAATATTGGTCTAAGATCCAAGAACTCAGTCAACTTCAGATTTAGATCAGAAAAAGACTTCAAAGAATGACATCATAATGTATTACAATACTAAATTGGTATGTTAAAATACAACTCCTAATCCATTGGTTTTATTTAATATCACATCTGTCAACCTCGATAATATTTATGGCGTGTTCTAAAATTACGCCATTACCAAACCCATAAAGGATAAATTTTGCAATACGGAATCAATAAACGGAATGTTTTATTGTAATCTGCTAATAATACAGCTAGGCTGTCTGCTTCTCGAATATTACGCTCACCAAGAACAGCTGCTTGTTATTTTATGAACCCACAATATCACATTGAACACAGTTACCTACAACATGGTGTTGTCAAAATGCCAATTATAATTCCAACGATTCGCCTCTTTACTTGTTCACGACATTCAAAACTGTTTGCTTATTTTTTGTGCGTTCATTGTTCATAAGCAAATTCATAATAATTCCGGTTTCCTCTAAAATTCAAAGAAGTAATGAAGAACGTGCTAGTAAAATTTATCTCCTTTGTCCACTGTCTCCTTCTTTGTATTATGTTAAAATCCGGCTCAGTGCGAGTTGGTTCCGTAATATTACTATCTATAAAAAAGCAAAAAAATCAGCATCAGAATTACATCATCTGTGAAAATTTTTAATTGTTTAGCTATCTCGGTTTATGAGATGCAGCCTGATGATAGACAGACAGATTCCGCTGTTTTATTAATAGGGTCCCATTTTATTCTTTGGTTACGGACCCTATAAAAGAGAGAAAAACAACTTAAATACTATTTATAATAAAGAACTCACCATTAAGTGCACCGATTACAATTTTATTCTGTATGTCACAGATACTTACGACTACTATTATTTAAGGTTTCGTGCCTCATAAAGTAATCTGTAGTGTTATAGAAATACTCGCGTCTCTAAATGTTTAGGGGTTCAATTAGAAAATAAATTCAAAAACTATCGCGTAACATAGCCAATGAAAGAGCTTTAAATTTGAGAATCTAAATTATCTTTTAGAATCCAAATATCTTTTTTAGTTTTCAGATAAAAGTTTGGTATCTTGGGCGAAACTTAACCATCAAATTACGATGTAAAAAAAATTACCTATTGATTTAAATTGTAATATAAACATCATGCTTTATTTTTATTACGAATAGGGTATGTTTCACATCTCATCATTTGTTACAAAATACTTAGATAAATATTACCATGTTAAAATATTTTAACATTATGTCATGGACGAAACTCTAAATCGGTAACTGTTCTCCACCTAAATCCTCAATAAACTACTGTATGTTTTATAACGCAATAAAGAATAAAACATTAGATAAGATAAATGAAAATAATTTCAACTGTAAGCCAGATTTATGAGAGAGTGCGGTCTAAATGATGCATTATCCATTTAGCCGGTAGAACAACCGTATTACACTGTATTGTATAACGTATACAAAACCAATAAAATATAAGGTCTCAAGGACACATACAACTTATTTAAACCTCGTTACACACGTAAGGTACGATTAAAAAAATAGTTCGGAAACAAAAAACCCGACTACAGCTAAATCTAAAAAGTTTAAAACAAGAAATTTATTTTATAGAGATAACTAAGAACAGCGAAGGTCGTATGCCACAGCAATTTGTTTTGTTATAAAAGTAAAAGTAGTCGGGTAAAAATAAGAGCTAAACATGTATAAGAAGAACTTAAAGGGGGACGTCAATGACATTTATTTATTTATAAATTAAATATATTAAAATCAAATTAATTCTACGTATTGTGTGATATACGTATCAGTTTAAAGTAACCATTTATTTCTAAAGATAAATAAAAAAAGGTACCTAATGAATGCTATCTACCTTCTTCAAAATATTTTTATGGCATAATTTTAAAGCTATTCCTCTTTTTAATGACTTATTTTTAGAAAACACGCGGGAATATTCCTGGAATGATGTATGCCACCATTGGAATATATCCATTAGATTAGAATTAATGAAAGAATAAAACAATATTTTTTTTTAATAATATGTTCATTACAATTTATATAAAGCAAATTTTTAATAAATTACTATTAGACTAAAAACAAACTAGCACTAAGTAATTTGACAAGTTAAAAAAATAACGTCACTTCGATTGAGAGAAAGAAATAAAATTACCAAAGCGTACTTGCGAGACTGCCGGGCGGGCATATAGAATTGGTGTTAATGTATGTACAGTAAACAACATGTCAGGTAATACAAAACTGTCAATTTTCTCCAGTTGATTTTAAACCTTAATGCGTTGAAGGCAGAGTACTAAATCAATTGTGGAAATTTAATTTAATGTAACCTGATTTTCAGCTGTGTGTACTACGTGATACGCGGGTTTACGTATACTAATTATGTTTACAGGATTTCGAATCTCAATTGCTCTCGCGCAAATAGGTTATTGTAACATTTCCAAATAATTATTAATCTGTCGTGGGCTCTGTTTGAATTAGGCAAACCAATGTACGTACTTACACCAAGAGCTATATATACTATGTTTTACCTTATGTTTTTTTTTAAATAAACAAATTCTATGAGGAAACTGTGACAGTTGAATAAGATATACCTTTAAATCAATGATAGTGTAAAACCGCGTAACTTTTGGAATTTAGAGTAATTTGTAAGTGAATTAACATTAAAGTTCATTAAAAAAGTTTGCTCATAATTGCTCCTGTTAGTTACAATTTACACACTATCTCACTATCACAGACGTTTATTTACTCTTACTTCCTTGAATCTAAAATTTGTCCCATTACTATAGAACAAAGTACGAAGTTAAAAATAGTTAGTAAAATATGACCAATTCAAAAATACCTAAAAAACAAGAAACAATACTTGACAAGCGATTGACAATAAGAATTATTGATTTTGAAGTCTGAAGATATTTCAGTTATATGAAGCTTGTTGAAAATTAAACTGTTATTCCAATTCATAACGTGTACTTAAATTAAGTATAAAGGTAAAAAAAAAAGTTTGCATTGAATGAGCTCCGAAACTACTGGACCGATTAAAAAAAATCTTTTATCTACGGGAAGCTACATCATACGCGGTTGGTGTGAACTATAATTTACGCGAGCGAAGACACGGGAACACAGCTACCTTTATTACAAATCATCTATTGATCTGCATATCATTTGTTATGTTATCTTGTATAGAAAGTATGAATTTTATTTGGCAACTGTTGCCTAGCGGCCCGCTGTCGAGTGCATGACTCACTGACGTTGCTAGCTCGAGATTACCGCAAGGACGTTGTAATAACCCCGTAAATCTGAATGATAAGTTAATATGAATAGTTGTCATCCGTATGGTTCTTGGGAATTGTATCGTTTTATTTAATAAAGTTGTTGCTTTATAAAATTTGAAGAGCTCTATGGCACCGTCAGTTTGAAGAGCTCTACGATAATCATTATTAGCTAGGTCGAACAACGATTGTGGCGGTCTTATATGAGGTAGTTTAGCAACTCGAGAAAAATAAGTGTCGTTTCTGTTAAACCACTCTCTAAAGAAAACTGAATTGATCTAAACCCTTAACCAAAATGCGTATGAAGTTACTTTACGTAATGGAATCATTTTGATGATCAGATCTGTATTTCTCAAGATTATAAAGTAAAAAAATTAGAAACTTGACCTACTTCTTTATAATATAAGTATAGACCACATTCTAAATTGGTGTTAATATGTGTTTCTATTTTGCTTTTTCTTTAACAATTTATGCGAATACCTTGGGCATTGGTCAACAAGAAATTTTATTGCTTCCAAACAGTCTCTAATAAGTACATGTTCTGTAAAAGACTGACAAGCAGACAATTCTGCAGCCAAGCATTTGCAGCAAGATACAAAACTATTCTCACTAGTTGGATCACCGATGCATCAATTTAAAAGGCTACGATTGTAAACGAAACATAAATTGCTTTATAGAGAGATAACAGTATAAACGGGGAAGGAATCTGAATGGAAATACCTTCAGGCTCGCATTCAATGTTCGGAATAGATGAACCTTCGTGAATACATTTACTGTTTAGAGTTATTTGTATTGTATTTTAAATGCACTTGCATGGTAGTAGTTTATTGAATATTTTTTATTACGAATTAAAATTTATAAATACGTAAGTTTCAGAACTCTTTGTGAAACGAATTGATTTAAAAATTGTAATAATTTCTAACATTTTTACATTTATCAAATACGTATGATAAGAGATTTATTCGCGAACACATTTTTGAATGTAAGCGATAATTGATATAAATTTATATTAATATTTAATTATGTCTATAAAAAAACTTCGGATTACTTATAAATAAAATGCGAGGAAAAAAGTTTTTTTAACTCAGGAATCACACATTTAAGACATGGTACTATTTTTATGGAACATTAAATTAAGTTAAGATTCAAGTAAGAAAGGGGCAGAAAGTTTTTTTTTATAAATCTTATAAAAATGTACGAAAAAGAAAATGCATTTTTCTAACCCTAGACGTGATCAGTACGTTTTATGGTGGATTCAATAAAATGTAATTTACTCGACATATTTTAGTCTTTATTAAGAGTGTAAAAAAATTGCATTGTCGAATAGAAAAATTAATTGAAGAGAATTTGAATAAAGTAATTACTGTAACACACCTGATGGTGACGGCGCTAAACAAAGTTCTAGCGATTGCTGAATGTGTTTATTCCATTCAATGAAAGTCAGAGTATTTTTTTCGTTAAGTTAATAGTTAATAATTTATTTATTGTACTGAACGTATATAGACCTCCTTCAAGTTTAGTTTCTCATT